TTTTGTTTGTTTTTTAGAGACAGGTCTCTGTTTTTTTTTTCTTTGGTACCAGGGATTGAATTTGGGACCTTGTGCTTTCGAGGCAGGCGCCGGAACCACTGAGCTAAATCCCTGGCCCAGGTCTCTGTTTTTAACAAGTTCACAACAGGGCCATAATTCTTACGAAGTATCTCGCTGCCAGGCATCTCTGATTTGAATTGACTCTCCCATTGGATGACTTGAACCACTAGTGGTACACTCATGACTGTCCTAGTGGGCAGCTTGTACTCTTCTCAGGGAGTCTTTGATTACAGTAAAGCAAAGAAAGGCATTGATTTAGCAGACAAGATGTCATCATATTACAGTTCCTTAAGGAAAACATTAAGATGATATTAAAAAATTGTATTCTTTTTTGAGACAGGGTCTTGCTGTGTAGTTCAGACTGGCCTTGAACTCAATATGTAGCCCAGGCTGGCCTCAATCTCTTGGTGATCCTCCTGCCTCAGCCTCCCAAGTGCTGGGATTACAGGCATGCGCCACCACACCTGACTAAAAAATTGTAATATAGCTAATTTGTGGTATAGCAGTTATAAATATATATTATATACACTAGCAGTGGGGTACTGGGCCGGGGATTTAGCTCAGTGGTTCCAGCGCCTGCTTTGCAAGTGCAAGGTCCTGAGTTCGATCCCTGGTACCAAAAAAAAAAGAAAAAAAAAAAAGATTTCCATGTTAAAATTTAGAGAATCAATGGGGGGCGGTTTGAGACAGGGTCTTACTTTGTAGTTCAGGCCCATCTCTCCCAGACTGGCCTCCAACTCGAAGCAGTCCTCTTGCCTCAGCCTCCCCAGTTGTGGGATTACAGGCATGCACCATTGCCACCACACCTGGCAAAGTTTAGAGAATTGAGTACTGATAAACTATTGACCTGTGAAGAAATGCCATAGGGACAAATTACTTGAAAAAACATTCACTTTATAAAAGCTTATTTTTGGGCCAGGGATTTAGCTCAGTGGTTTCACCTCCTGCTGCGCAAGCGCAAGGACCCAAGTTCAATCCCCGGTACCAAAAAAAATTTTTTTTAAAAGCTTATTTTTTTAATCTACTAATATCTTATTTGTTGAGACTTTTTTTTTTGGTACTGGGGATCAAACTCGGAACCTTTTAATTTAAGGAAATAAATTTGTTGAATAATTTTAATTGGTATGAATAGTATTAATTTTTATATTTGGGTAGTATTCAAATTCAGGCAACTAATAGATTTGGTCCATTTATAGACTTTATTAATTTTATTAGTAAAAAGTTTGATAAAAGTGCTTAGATCCATTTCTGCCACCAGTGGTTCAGGCCACCTGATGGGAGAGTCATACTTGTATCACCAGTGATTCAAGCAAGTGGGAATGTGTTAAATTTTGAGACAGTCTCTGAGTTGCCTGAGCTATCCTCAAACTTGAGATTCTCCTGCCAGAGACTCCCTAAAAGCTGGGACTACACATATGCCCCACTATGGCTGGCTAATAACTTCATTCTTATTTACTTTGTGGATAGCTTGTTTGAACAGTTGTTGTTGTTTGTTTGTTTGTTTCTAAACAGTCTGAAGATGATGAGAAGCTGAAAAAGAGGAAGGAGAGATTTGGGATTGTCACAAGTTCAGCTGGAACTGGAACCACAGAGGATACAGAGGTAAAATACACCTATAAAGCTTCATAGTGCTCTTGAAAGGAAGCGATGAATACTGAGAGTGGAGAAAACACCTCTTATTTCTCCAATCTGATTTTTAAGTTCCCAGGTGAAAAGATTTGCCTTTTGCTTGCTAACTTTTGTTTGGATGAAGTAGTCACACTGAATTCCATCAATGTATTTAATTCAGTATTACAGTTCATTAGCCTAGTAGCAAAGAACACAAAACTGGGAATCAGGTAGGCTTGGATATAAAAGTGGTTCTCCCAGGCCGGGTATTTAGCTCAGTGGTTCTGGTGCCTGCCTTGCAAGCGCAAGGTCCCCAGTTCAATGCCTGGTACCAAAAAATAAAAGTGGTTCTCCCACTTTTTATAAAAAGTTATAGGTACTTTCCTGATCCTTTGTTTCATCATCTGGGATGTAGAAATTAATATACCAACCTCAAAGTAGAATTTTGAGAATGAAATAAAGCGATTTTGTGTAGAAAGGGATGTCTGTGCAAAAATGTTTGAAATGATGCCTGTTGTGTTGTAAGTATTAAATAAGTAGTAGTGCTTATTATCTGTAAGGCATATTTCTTTTGATCATTTACTTTTTTAGTATATGTGCTGCCGAAGCGAGCACTTGATCATTTACTAAAAGCTACCTCTACAGGTATATTTGTCCCCAGCTCCCCTTTGGATTAGGACAACAGACTCAGATGAGGCTTCTTGTTCTTACTACCTTGTTTATAAATAATTTCTCTAAATGGGCCAGGGATTTAGCTCAGTGGTACTGCTGCCTGCCTTGCAAGCGCAAGGTCCTGAGTTTGATCTCCGGTACAAAAAAAAAAAATTCTCTAAATGAAAGAGTGGGTGTTCTTTTTTTTATTTTTTCGGTACCGGGGATCGAACTTGGGACCTTGAGCCTGCAAGGCAGGCGCCAGAACCACTGAGCTAAATCCCTGGGCCCTAGTGGGTGTTCTTAAGATTTGTATTCATTGTATCTCAGGTTCTCATAGGGTGTAATCAGTGAATATGAATTCACTGATATTGAACATTGACAGATAATATTGATTTGCTGAATTGAGAATATCTATACTGTAATGGAGACCAGGTATCACCTGGGATGAATATAGAGAACAGTGGAAATAACTAAATTTGTAGAATTACAGAAAACTTCTTGGGTAGCAAGGAGCTTGGAATATTCTTTCTTGCTTTCATTTAATCAAGATTTTATTTTTTCTATCTACTTCTGGATGTAGCCTCTAAAAATTTTATTTTTATTTATTTATTTATTTATTTATTTTTGGTACTGGGGATCGAACTCGGGACTTGCCGCTTGCAAGGCAGGTGCCGGAACCACTGAGCTAAATCCCCGGCTTTTTTCTTTTTTCTTTTTTTTTTTGGTACCAGGGATCGAACTTGGGACCTTGTGCTTGTGCGGCAGGTGCCGGAACCACTGAGCTAAATCCCTGGCCCAAAATTTTATTTTCTTACACATTCAGAATGTTGTAAAGTTTTCAGCAAGGCATGGTGGCATGCACCTGTAATCCCAGTACTCAGAAGCCTGAAGCTGGAGGATCACCACAAATTCAAGGCCAGTGTGGGCTATATAATGAGCTCAAGGCCAGCCTGAACTATATTGTAAGACCCTGCCTCAGAAAAAAAAACAAAATAAGGTTTAAAGTTTTTTTATGAGTAAGTATCAGAGTCAGTCTTATAAATTATAATTTATAATTATATTGTAAATGATAATTAGATTTGTTCTTGTTGTTTTTTGAGACAGGGTTTTGCTTCGTAGTTCAGACCTGGCCTTGAACTCACTATGTAGCCCAGGCTAGCCTCAAATTCAGAGTGATCCTCCTCCTGCCTCAGCCTCCCAAGTGCTAGGATCACAGGCATGCGCCACCAGGCCCAGAATAATCAGATCTTATAATCAGATCAGATCACATTCTGTACTAGGAAAAAAAACTAAAGGAGTTTGTATTCTTTGAGCTACTGAGAACAAAATGGTACCTGTTACAAGTATGTTTACTTATTTACCAGGGTGAGCTTGCAATAAATATAGGCTTGTTTTAATTCTGATTAAAATTACTCCATCTGTGCCAAGGAAACTACTGTCAAACCAGGCATGCTTGCTAAGTAGATACATTCGGGCTCTCCAAGTTAAGCAGAGTGCGAATTGGCTGGCAAGGACCAGTGGATTTTGCTGGAAGAGTTGCCATAAAAAGGAGTAGCACCTTCTGAGTTTGATGGAGTTTACATGAACCAGATGATTTTTGTTTGATTCCTAAAAATTATATCAGTAGTCCAGGTGGAATGGGCTGGGCTTGTGTGTTTTCAGCTTTCTGTTTAAATGTGTATTAAACCTTCTATGTAAATGGGCTTACAAAAGGCCCTCCTCATGCTGAGGTAGCAATTGGAGTAAGCATAAAGGAGTCAGTGCTATTTTGAGTCACACCGAGAAGGAAAGGGTCCTCCCCCCGACCCCCATTTTGTACCCTCCTTCCAATGCTGCCTTCCCTTAAAAGTTTCATGACAGGGCCAGGGATTTAGCTCAGTGGTTCCTCTGTGTGCCTCGAAAGAGCAAAGACCCGAGTTCAATCCCTGGTACCAAAAAAAAAAAAGTTTCATGACAAAGACAAACCTGCAAACACCCTTCTTCTTCCAATTTATTCTGTTGGCATTGAAGATTTATATGCTTTTCTCTGGGTTAAAGGTCTGAGGAATAGATACTGCCTGATCCTAACTGCATAGAAGGGCATTCTTACCACCTCCATAAATAAGTATTGGTTAGGGCCGGGAATTTAGCTCAGTGGTGCTGCTGCCTGCCTCTCAAGCACAAGGTCCCAGGTTAGATCCCAGGTACCAAAAGTATTGGGCCAGGGATTTAGCTCAGTGGTTCCTGTGCCTGCCTTGCAAGCACAAGGTCCCAAGTTCAATCCCCAGTACCAAAAAAAAAAAGTGGTTAACTCTTTGTCCTCTGGAGCCTCCCCACTGACTAGAAGACTTTGCCCAACCTGTTAAGGACTCATTATTTCTAGGCTAGCTCATTCTAAAGCTCAGTGGCCCTCTCTCTGTGAAATCTTTCCACCACTCCTCTCCCCATCCCCCAACCAAAACCTGTCCACCTTCCATAATCTTTCCTCCCACTCTTCTTTTATCCTAAACCTCCTCAGCTCTAATGGGATAACTAGAAATTCAGGAATGAGATTTCTGGCTGAAGAGCTTAAAGCCTGGGTCATCCTTTCTTCTTGGATCTTGTGATAGTTCATGTGAGTTTGGGTTAAAGCAGCCAGGAACCTAGGCTTCTTTGTCCTACAGTCTAATGTTTTTTTCTTTCTGCTTTTTTCCTTACAGGCAAAGAAGAGGAAAAGAGCAGAGCGCTTTGGGATTGCATGATGAAAAGTTCCTGATGCTTTCTCTTCTTCGGTGGTTTCCATTTTCAATTCTTCTTGGTCACATATATACCTAAGTGCACAGTCACATGCCTACATCCTGCCTCACAGTGAGGGAGCATGTACCCCAGGTACATCCATGAACTCCGGCAGCAATTTGACCTACTGCTGTTCCAACTTTAAGGTTGTGTTTTTGTTTTTAATTATTTTGCTTGTTAATAAAAAAAAGTAGAAAAGACAACAATGTGTTTTATTAGGTGCTCCTTTAAGTTCTTGGAGCCAGATTAGACCTGGTAAGAACTTCAGGGGTAAATGTTACAGGAAATTAGCCATGATGCCTTTATCCTTTAAAAAAGAAGACAAGGAAGAAGATCAAGTCTCCAATTAAGCCTATTTATTCCCTTCTCTCATACTCACAGGCATTCTCTTTACCTCTTTACCCTCAGCAGTTTGGAGTGACCCATTGAGATAAAATAGGAAAAACAGGTTGAGGAGATACAAAGGATATAATACAAGGGCTAATGATCAGTATTCTTTACTATAAGCTGACATTGATGCCTTGTTGGATAAAGTGGAATCCAGAATCCTACAATAAGAAAGGCCTAGCTGGTGTGGCAGCCAATGCCTATAATCCCAACCCTCAGTAGGGTGAGGCAGGAGAATCTCCACAAGTTCCAAGGCCAGTCTGAACTACATAATGAGACCTTGTCTCAAACAAACCAAAAAAATAAAAAAAAGAAAGGCCCTGTTTTCCAGGGTGGCTTGGCATGATACTCTGGTCAGAATGTGGGAGGAATCTTGTTGGTTATGCAATTCAGGAAGGTGGATGGACTAAATACCCTCTCAGAGATAGAAGAGGGGTTCAAAGGATGTCAGAGGTATTGCACATTAATCATTAATTAGGAATGCTGTGCAGTAGAACTAGATGGATTTTTTGGGGGGGGGTTGTTTTGTTTTCCTTTTGTGGAGCTGTATATCAAACCCAGGGTTTTGCACCTGGTCAGCAAGAGTTCTACCACTCTTCTATGTACCCAGCCCTATTTCTGCTTTCTAGTCAATCCCTATGCTAATTTATCCTCTTCTGTTACAGAAAGATACTATTGCAATTCTTTTGGGGGGGGGTTGTTTTGTTTTGAGACCGATTTGCTGTCTTCCTGCCTCGGCCTCCTGAGTGCTGGGATTATAGGCATGGACAATCACGCCTGGCTACTGTTGCAGGTTTGATGGTAATGTTTCTTGGATATTACTAAAAGTCATTTTTCTTGCTCAGGGTTCTACTTAGAAAAAGCTTGGCTTTCCCTTAACAGGTTGCTTAAATTTTGTGTAGATCTGAGACCTGGTCCTTAGTCTTTTTGAAAGTGTTAGTGAAGGGTTTGTCCTCTTAATTTTATGGTTTTTTTCATTCATTTCTTGGGGGACGAGGGTCATAAAACTTATAACCTTGGTACCTTATAGAAGATGTTGCTACCATGATGAGATCCTATGTTGCTGTGGTATAATTTTTATCCTTATTTCTACCAAAACCTACCTGGATTTGTGGTTAATAAAAAGGTAACATTAAGAATCTCATTATTTCTGCAAATTCGCTGGTTGGTGAGGTCAGGGACCTACATTTAAACACTTCAGAAAAACTATGCCTTGGAGAGCAGATCCAGAGTGCCCATTTGTTGTGACTTTTGCTCTGAGACTTTGGTGAAATGAACAAAAGAGAAAGTTGGTTGAAGTTTTGTCACCTCCTCAATAAGTAAACCTTATAGAGTGACTTTCCCTCTTTTCCTGCTAGTCTCTTATGTTTGCCTGTCTTTCTTTACTTCAGTCTTTTATCTCAGAACTAGTTTTCCTCTCTCTACTGCGTCTGTGTCTTCATCTGAAAACCAGAGATAGTCATTCTGGTTTTGAAATGTGAATGAGATTATACATTCAGTAAAATTTCTACCCCGGGGTGGTTTAAAAAACTAGGTAAGGGAATAGAATATATCCTGCTAATGGAGTGTAACAGTGGGTCCTTCAGTTTTTCTTTACCCTGTCTCTTTAGTCTTCATAACCTTTGAGAAGTGTATTCAGCTCTACTCCCTAGGAAAGCCTAATCAGTCTCTTTACTCTGCTCTTTTTACTGGGGATTGACCCAGAGCTTTTGCACTAAGCTACATTTCCAACCCTTTTTACAAATTTTTAGATAGGGTCTCAGTAAGTTACTAAGTTGCCAGGCTGGGCTAGAACTTGGGATCTTTCACCCTCAGCCTCCCAGAGTGCTGAGATGACAAGCATGTGCCACCATGCCCAGCTTCTCCAAATCCTTGATATAATTCTTTGCCTATGTTTGGGGATCCCCTCTCCCCTCAGTGCTGGGAATCAAACTCAGGTCCTTGCACATTGGACATTTTAAAGTTTTTTTCATTCTCTTTATGTCTGGTAGTCATTCCACATATACTTCTTGAGTATGAAAAGTTAAGGATGCTCAAAATTTGTAGGTCTTTTTATTAATTTATTTTTGAGACATTATTTTTGGGTCTCTTGAGTAGTTCAGTCTGGCCTTGAACTCACTTGTAATCCAACCTGGCCTCGAACTTGTGATGATCCTGCCTCAGCCTCCCTAGTGATATGATATCAGGCATGTGTCACCACACCTGGCTCTTTTTACTAATTTAGTCTTCAAAGAGTCTTTTGTTTGCCTAAATAAAACAAATCTGGTCTTATAATTCTTTATCTAGAATCTAAGTACCCTTCCTTCCAGTTCCCCAGTCTTCTTCCTGTAGCTGATCTAGCATCCAGATTGCTTAGTGGACTCCAGTCTTTTCCTTGTTCTAAAGCTGTGACATTCTCTGCATACCTGGAAGCTCTTAATGAGGGAGTCTATAAAAGCTGGGGAGGAAACTAGCTTCCTTAGCTATAAATCTGTACCTTTTTATGGTTCTCTAGGATCAATTTTTTCTCCACCGTCACCCTGAACTGCTCTGCCCCCTGCCCCAGCTCTTGAGAATGGAAGATAGGCTAGAAGGTTCTGTAGAGGGGAAGGGGTGCATAACAGTTATATGTGTTATATATTTGAGACAGGGTCTCACTTTGTAGTTCAGACTGCCCTGAACTCCCTATGTAGCCCAGGCTGGCTCGAACTCACAGTGATCCTCAGCCTCCTGAGTGCTGGGATCACAGGCATATGCCACCAAGCCTGGTCAATATGAATTAATTTTATAGTGAACGGTGTGTTGTGACCATTTCTCATTGTGTTGCCAGTGTTGCTGATGCTGACCTTAAACTGGCAGTTCTCCTTCCTGCCTCAGCTTTCCAAATGGTTGAGATAGGCACATTCCACCACATTCAGCCTCTTTGGTGTTAAACTGAGTTCTTTCCTGTCAGCCATGAGAAACAGATGAGGGAGAGGAAGGAACTTAGATAATTAAGGAGATAGCCCTCTTTTGGTGCTCTCTTATATGAGACGTCTGACAAACAATGCTACTTACTTCTGATTATTGAAATCCCCTACCTACGGTCTAACCTGCCTTTCTGGAAACATCCAGACTCTTGGTTTTTCCCTCCAAAGGAAATGAAAAGTTTCGTACTTTCGCAGACCCTTTAGCCTAATGTGTTCCTGTCTTGTTTTCTTTCCTCTCCGTTGTCTCTGTATTTAGTTTTCCACTTCTCATACCACTGTTAATAGATTAGATCAAAATATAGGGTAGGGTTTTTTTTGTTTGTTTTATCTTCTGTTTTTTGAGACAGGATCTTGCTGTGCAGCTGGCCTTGAGCTCATTATGTATCCCAGGCTGGCTTCAAACTCAGTGATCTTCCTGCCTCAGCCACTCATGTGCTTAGATTTCAAGCATGTACTACTGTGCCCGCTAGAATATAATATTTTGTAGCATCTACTTAGCTTTAATTCCTTGTTCTACTCTTCTAGCTCTGAGACCTTAGGCAAATCACTCTTACTCTTTCCAGACTATCAATAAGGAATCTTATTGTGAAGGCTCTTATGAAAGTTAAGTGATCAGTATAATTTACTATAGTGTGGATAATAATCATTGACTAAATACTAGTTCTTAATTTTACCTAGGTAAGATTAAGATTTAGAGCAAGTGAAAAATGTTTTCCCTGAGTAGGTTCCAGCTAGAGGATGGGTCGGGGGTTGTGTATCTGTGCATATACCTACTTATGCTGTTGTGTTTGGAGACCAGGAAGAAGTGGGAAGAGTCCTGTTTACTCCTTTAACCCGAGATCATTAGTAGGAAAGCTGACACTGTCACTTGGGGCATTGGCTTTCCTGCTTTTGACCCACTATAGTCCAGAAACTAATGCCACTGCCATCTGGTTCTTAGCTTGCAAAGCATGCCTCATATCCTAAAACTGGCAAAAGCAGAGTATAGGATAGCTGCTCATGCACTAATCTGGAGATGTTTTGAGAAAAGAAAAAAGAAAAAAAACTGACTTGAGTCTTAAGAGTTTCTTCTGGATGACTCCTCAGTGCAGAAGACAAATAAGCAGTAGGAGAGAGAAGCTTTTTTTGGCTCAAGCCAAAACCCTAAGGGTAGCTCTAATACAATCTAATACATAGCTCTTAGGTTACTCATTTTCAGTCTCAATTTCACTCAGTCCCAACCTGTTTTGTAGTTGGTCTGGGGTGATGCAGCGATGTCAGTCTGCTGGTAGAACTGACAGAACAGTGTTGGCACATTGAACCCACAGTGGCCCTATCCATTATTCTGGATCAGAGTAATGTCCCAGAAGCTTTCCTTTTTTCTTTTTAAATTATGTCAAGCATCCCAAGATGAATGTAATTATTATGTATCACAAACATATACCATAATAAAAAAGAAAACGTGGGACTGGGGATTTAGCTCAGTGGTGCCACATCCTGCCTTGCAAGCACAGGGTCCTGAGTTCCATCCCCCATACAAAAAAAAAAAAAGAAAGAAAAAACATGTAAATCGGGCAAGCTCTAAACATGTAAATCAGGTGGCACACACCTGAAACCTCAGCATTCTGAGAGATTAAGGCAGGAGAATTGCAAGTTTAAGCATACCCTGAGCAAAGTATCTTAGTGAGACCCTGTCTCAGAATTTAAAACAAAACACTTTTTAAAGGGTGGGGAACATAGCTCAGGGGAAAAAAGCCTTGAGTTACTACCAAAAAAGAAAAGTCAGCTGAGCCTGGTGCCACTAGCCTGTAATCCCCACACTCAGGAGGCTGAGACCGAAGGATCACTCTTAAGTTCTAGGCCAGTCTGCACTAATAAAGCAAGGACCCTGTCTCAACCAAAAAAGAAAAGAAGGCAAAGTTCTTTTGCCAGCCCCTCTCTTGAGCCCTGGGAATTGTGCTTCAGGTACGTGGTACAGTTCTACAGTGGACTCAAAACTGTTCGAGGTGCTTGCTTCATCACTCTTGTACATGGTCAAGATAAATGGCTGTTGGTTGAGTTTATGTTGAGGAAATCTAGGATCAGGGACTACATAAGAGTAGGACAAACATTAGCTGGGTCATCTCAAAAGAACTTTTCCATTTTGCAGAGGCTGGGAGTCTTTCTGTATTTTTGGAACTGTTTTGGATCAAGCTGCCCAGACTAGAGTTGTTTCAGCTCCCTTCCCTTTCCCATCCTCTATTCCTGTGCCTTGGACTGAGTGTCCCAGCCCTCATCCCACATGCCCTTAGTGGTTTTTCTTGTTCCAGGGACCCCATCTTCTTAGTTGTAAAGCAAAACATTTCCTCTCTTAGTTCCTCTTCAGATCCTCGTCTCTGAGGTATAAATATGGCGCTTGATTAGGGAGAAGAGTTCAGCACTGAATTCTAAACTCTTTGACTGCTTTTATTTTTCTTTTTTCAGGTTCAAGTGCTGGATTGTGTCATGTGACCATCCCAAAACTCAGAGCACCCTATGGCCATCTTTGCCCTCTTGTCACATAACTTGAAAACTGCCTGATGGCCTTTTTGCAATGGTTCCTTCCAGGAAGCCTTGATTTCAGTGAAGAAGTCCTTTCCCGGCATTCCAATGCCCTGTCAGCCCCATATTCCTCAGACATTCTTAACAAAGGCAATCACGCACATGATGTAACAAATACACAAAGTAAATAATCACACTAATAATATGTTCAGAGGGGCGCTGGCCAGGTTCACACAAATAAGGTGGGGGAGGGTTGCTCCCGCTGGGTTGCTGGGCTGTGTCCCCAAGCCTCTCTATCCCATGCTTTTTGGGGATAAGGAAGAACAGCGGACTGAGACTTCAACTCATAGACTTATATTCGTAAAAGGAACTCCCCCTCCTGTCTCGCAAAGATCTTTATTTGGTGGTACTCAAGGGGCAGTATTTTTAAGTGTCCCCCAAGTTTAATGCCCCAGCTCTCTAGACTCTGTAGAGGGAAGTTACCTGATGCTTACTGCCCAATCCCTACCCTGTCCCAAGATCAAGAGGTATTTGACCTTTGGGGAATTATCTTCACTCTTCCTACTCCTCCTACTGCCAAGGAAATGTAAATGGTATTGATCATCAGGTGTCTTATTCTCCATTGAGGCAGAAAGGATGAAGAACAAGGCCAGAGAGGAGAGGCTTGGGGTTGACATAGCTGCTATATGGGAGGTTAGTTGAAAAGCTTAACAGCTCCTGCTTATTCCTCTACTGAAACACCTTGTCTCATTTTCTCACTATGAGTATAGGAGTAAGATGCTCAAGCTCACCAATATTACTTTCCCAGGGTGACCACATACCTTTGCCCCTTCCATGGTCCAGTCCAAGCAGGAGAGACATATGCTTAGGAAGAATAAGCCTTCCAGGTTTGCTCTCCAGCATGGGCTTTACTTCAGTTCAGTACTGTTGCTACCAGACCATAACTGCTGGATTTATTTAGAGTGGTAATTTTGCTGCAGGTTTTCACCCCCTCCTCTCCTGACATTCTCTAGGCTCTAGCCTGGAGCCAAGAGGTCAGCTGGTGAGGTATGGGTAGGGTATGGAGATTCTCAACTCCTTGGCTTCAGGCACTCCAGCTGGCAGGCAGGAGGAAACGTGTATTCTCTGAAGCCAGTGACTCCTCTAAGCCTCACATCTCTTCACCACTGCTCTGGTGCCCTGGTTATCTGGTCCCACAGCGAGAGGTATTTTATGTCCATAAAGTGCCCGTGGTAAGTGCTCAGAATTCATCTCTTGGCTGTGGCGGGTGCTGCTATTTCTCATTCCATTGAGGGGAAGAAACTGAGGCCCAGTGAGTCCAGAGGAGTGTGCATCAGGATTGTGGGATGAATGAATGGGCCCAGCTAATGATGAAGTGGCAGCCAGTCTGCCTGCTTCCTATCCTTCCAAACCAGGGAGTCTCTGTCCTTCCCATCCTCTGCTGTAACTGGCCTTGTCAGATGCCTTTCCCCACTGTACTGTTCCCTCCCTGCTGCCAGATACTGCTGTATTCCAAAAATAAAAAATATTATAGACAATCTGCTCCCTTGTTTTCCCTCCTACCCTGAGCTTTGGGGTTGGGGGACTAAAATGTCCCCCTCTAGAATCCCTTCCACCTTGGTCTGCTGGCTCTATTCCCTAGCCCAGAGCAGTGATTTGGATTCAAATGCCCTGTAACCTTCAGCCTACTTAACCACTCCTTTCTTGACCCCTCCAAATCCTTCCCAGACCTGGGGGACTCAGATCTTTTTTTTTTTTTCATTGACCTGAAGATAGAGGCTGGGACCAGGGACATTCCACAGGGTCTTTGGTCTCTCTCCACTGAGGGGAATTTGGGTTTAAGCAGGCTGTACCCTCTGGCTAAATAAATCAGTACCATGAAGAAAGCTGGCCTGAGGGTTAGTAGTGGTTGAGGACTCCCCTTTCCCTAGCTCTTAAATCCTAACCTTTTACTGTTTCTATGACCATTCGGTTTGGCTCAAGAAGGTTAGTTAGGGTACTTATGGGTTAGAAACATACCTGTGTCAGCCCTCTTGCCCTTTACTCCCATTCCCAACCCTGGAGGCTTTATACAAGTGCTTAAGTGGGTGGGTCTTGGGGAAGAGCCTGGTTTGGGGAATAAGGGATAAATGGGGCATAGTGGGCAGGGGCCCTCCTATTCCAGTAAAGCCAAATACCAAAAAATGAAAAGTCACAATAAATAAATAAATAAAATTCCCAAATCCTTTTGCCCCTGCCTTCACTTCCCTTCCCCTGCCATGGCTGGAGGAAGAGAGGGAAGAAGCTAAGAATGGATAGATTTCCTCTCCTACTGAGTAGTCAGGGGTTCTCCCCAAACTACCAAGCCCCTCACCTTGCCAGTAGAAGAAAGGAGGCTTGGTGTGGGGCTTTCATTTATTACTCCATTTCAGTCTCTTTCAGTGTTTGTCTCTGCCTAGTCTGTCTCTTCTGCCTCTCTATTCCTTTGCCTTCTCAGTGTTGCTGTTTGTTCCTCTGTCTCAATCCCTCTTGTCTCTACATCTCTCTATCTTCTTGCCAAACCTTCTTACCTGCAAACCTCAAACACTACCCTGACCGTGCCCCTCTCCCTTTCTCCCAACCCCTCACCCTTCAGTCCCCACCTGCCTCCCTCTGTTGTATTGCACACTGCTTGGTCAAGGGAACAAGGTGTGATGTTCATGGGAAGAGGTGGAGGGAGCGCTAGGGCTTGGGGGGAGGGGCAGGGCTGGGGGGTCTCAGGGTAGGGTCTGTGGGGGAGGCATCCACTGTCCCCCACCTTAGGAGCAGCCACAGCGATCCACCACCATGCCAGGGATCTTGCCGTAGATAATTTGCTGCTTGTCATTGAAGTAGAGCATGTTGATTGGGGACATCTTGGTGGGGGTGCAGCAGGGCCCAGCAGAGCCTCTTGGATTGGCCTGTTGCACCAAGTGGGTGTGTGGATACTTTTGCATGAACATGTACTCGCACTGGCCGGAGCAGTAGTTGGCCTTGTAACGCTTAGGTGCGATGATCCAGTCCCAGCCGAAAGCCTCAAAGTCCACTGTGAGGGGATATCGGCAGCAGCGGGACTCGCTTGAGTGCTCATCACAATCCAGGCCCAGGTTCCGCCGGGACCGTTTTGTGTTCTCTAGGACTCGAAGCTCCATGAAAGGATGCTGAGGGTCAGGGAGAGGGGAAAGAGATGTGACATAGCCCTGGAATAGTTCCTCGTCCCTGTTCCTCTCCCACCTGCCTAAACAGGCATCAGAAGAGACTCCATTGATTTCTCGGCTTTTTCATTTCACCCACCCCCAGAACTTCCCTTCATTTTTCTTGCTATCTAGCCATCTCTCCTTCCTAATTCTTCCTTACTTGGCAACCAGATCCTAACAGCTCCTTGGCCCAGGGCCTCATCAACAGGCAGTTTTTGTGTTCTCACGGATCTCCCATTAACTGACACCTTCAGCCCCAAATCCAGTTTTCAGCTGTTGCCTGGCTTGGATCCCTGAAAAGTGATAGTTGCCACCCCACCCCATTCCCACCTCCTCTAGAATCAGTTCCTGGCCCCAGAGAAATAACACTGGTCCCCAACCCCCTTCACGTTCCTGGTCTACTTTTACTAACATTCCCCACTTCCTCAGGGCCAGGTTACACATATCCACCACCACTTCAGGCCCCCTGCTCACCAGGCCCTCAGCTCCCGGCCCCAGGGAGGTGACAGCCAGGTCTGTGCCACTGGGATCAAAGGCGTTGATCTCGATGCCCCAGTTGCTCTGTGGCTGGCGGAACCAGCTGTGAAGCACTTGCTTGAAGTCGATGCTCTGCCAGTGGCCGGAGCGCGAGTGCAGCTCAATCTTGAGTGAACGGATACGGATGTGACGCCGGCCTCCACCCCCTCCCCCTGCAGTCCCTTCCCCAGTTAGGGGTTTCAGTCGCAAGATCTGCAGGTAGACTGTGGCTGGGCGGGGCACGGGCCGAAGGTACACCCACAGCTGGGCCTTCAGTACCTTTGTGAACATCACCTTGGGGCTGAAGTGGAAATGGCAACAGAGAGGGCTGCCATCTGTCTGCACTGCGGGGTCCGCTGATAAGAGAGAAGGGGGCAGAGCATCAGCAAAAGGTGTTTGTAGAGGGGATCAGCAGCCCTGGGAGGCACTGGCAGTTTGGACTCAGGCTGTTTTCCAGTTCTTTACCCTTTTCCTGTGCCTGTATTGTTGGCTACTGTTACTGAGTCTTTGATACCCAAACAGTGCCTCCTCTTTATAGGATGATGTCTTGGCTAATTCTTCCTGATCTGCACCTATTCCATTTACCCTAATATATAAGCTCCTTTCCACTAGATAATCTGCAAAGATAGTTACCTAAATTCTCCTTCCACCTGCATCCTTCATTTTTACAATCTTTCCCAGCATATAAGGCTTGCACTTTTTCTGAATCTTGAATGTCCTTTACAGAAGCCATGTGTTTCATCACATCTGCTATCCTTAGGTCCCCCTGCCCTATTTATATGGTCGCTTGATTTGTCTGTTGGACAGGTGACCTGCCCCACCCAAACCTAGATGGCCTCAAAGGAGATAACCCAGGGTCCAGAGAGGGAGTGTGGTCTAATTTTCTCGTAAAGTAGATGAGAATTCAGAGCTAGGCTTGTGTCATTCCTAGTAGCACACCTTCCAGAATGAACTACCTAAGTGTTTTCTGTACATCTGACTCCCCATTGTCCCTTAAGAACAAATTTCCTTAGTTGCTTCCTCCTCATCACCACCATTCCCACCTTGACGTTTTTTTTGGTACTGGGGAGTGAACTCAGGACCTTGCAAGGCAGGTGGTGGCACTGCTGAACTAAATCCCCGGCCCCCCACCTCAACTTTTGAGAAAGGGAAAAATTTGTTTCCTCCTGTTTACCCAAAGCATCAGAACTAACATTTAACACCCTAAGTCAACTGAGGGCACTTTTTCTCCCCAGAGCTTTCCTTTGGTTTCTATCCCAGTGTCAGTAAGTCTACAAAGGTTCAGGATCTCAACTTTACATTTTAACCCTTTCCCCTTTGTTCTGATCCATACATTGTCCCTTGGGTCTAAAAGATGATTCTCAGTATATCCTTCTGCTTTGGTTCCAGCTCCTCCCACTTCCCCTTCCTAATCTCTTAAATCAGTTGAGAATACCCTAAATCATGTCTCCTCTGGACAGGAATGTTCATTTTCATTCTATACAGGAAGGATCTAGAATGACCTTCCAGAGCTCCATTAAGTTTGCTGAGGAAGTCTAGGGCCTTGTGTATCATGCACAGGTCTCGTGTACTACACAGTCACGGAGGAATTGGAATGTTGTCTCCCACCAGCACTCCACCCTACCTCAGGAGACAGAGGACCCTCTAAAAGAGGTAGGAAGGAGAAAAGTGCTTAATGATCTTCATGTATTCAGGACACCATACACAGAGTCCTTCTGCAGCATATTTTTTTCTTGGTTCTGAGGCCCCAGTATTGTGGTAGTCATCTCAAGTTACCCCACCAGCTGGAACTTCAGTAATAGTGCAATGGACTAGGGTTTTTGAAGTGGAGACTGAGAGATTAGGAGGGTAGCTGGGGTAGAAAAGCTACTGAGAGATCCGGAATGACAAGCAACAATCCAAATGACACATTATTTCTAATTTCAGCACAGGAATTGACTTTCTTGCTATTAGATACTCATCTTGAGGGTAGTCATTGTTGATAACTTGTGTATTTTGCTCACCATTGTAGCTTTAGTGCTTCCTTGCCAAGCAGTACTCAATAAATACATGCTGCATGAACTCTTAGTTGTAAATTACACAGGCAACTGCCTATGAGTTCTTCCTAAACTTGTTATTTGCCTACAATTGAGCTGGGTTTTGTTGTTGTTGTTGTTTCTTTGAACTGGGTTTCACCACTCCTTGACTCCTCCCTCATTAACCTGTATCTGACCTTACCCACATATCAGATTTAGCAGTGTGATAAAGATAATTCTTGACTCATAGGAACATTAAATGAGCATTAAATAAAGAATGTGAAAATAGTAGAGGTTCTCAATAAAGGCTGATTGGTTTGTTTTCCAAGCACTAAACATACCTCATTACCTAAGGTAACCTGGACTTTAGAGGTGAGAGATGGTCACCATCCCTCTTAAGACAGTGGTGACCAGCTTATGGCACCCTAGTGCTGCAGTGGACTGTTTGTATCAGTGAAAGCTCTAAAAGGTTCAGCATCAGTGCCCTAAGTCTTTGGTTCCTTTAGAAAAAAGTTTCCCCATCCTCACCACGGGGAATCTTCATACACTTCTCCCCCAGTGGATATGGTGACAGTGCTACTAAGGGATGGGACATAAGGACAAAGTGAAGGGACAGGATAAGTCAGGGGAGATTTTGGAGATGGTGAGGGAAGAATGGAGAAGAGATAGGAATGAAGACAGGTTAGAGGAGATAAGCTGAGGAATAAGAGTGAGTAGGAAGATCATGCTATGGGGAGAATTAAGTTTGGGAGTTGGAGAACATCAGAATGAGGTAGAAAGGAGTGGGTGGGGGTTGAGAGGTGGGAGGGAGCTGAACCTAGTGGGGTAAGGGAGAAAAAGGATAGGTACAGAAGAAGGAACAAAGGAAAGGCAGGTAGAGCTATAGAGGGAAACCCGGCTGAGAGAGCCCCCAGCAAGCACAGGCCCAGCTCCGGTGGGGAGGGGAAGGGGCCACATCTGGGTTGGATTGATCTGGTTGGTGGCAGGCAGCAGGTCAGGTTTAGTAGGCGGTGCTGGTGGGGGAGAGAGGTCATTGCACTATTTTCAGCAAAAGCCCAACCCCCTCCCTACTCACCAAGGCTGCCTCCTCCTCCGCCTCCTCTCCCGGCCCCCCCACCCGCTCCCAACCCCGCCTGGAAGGCCTAGGGGCTGGAGGTTGGGCAGTGAGGGCAGGGGCCTCTCGGTGTAGGGAGGAGAGACAAACTGAGGGGCTGGGCTTGGCTCCCTGAAGGGCAGGGGGCTGGGTTCCCAGGATGAAGCCTGGGGTGGGAAAGCCTGAGAGGGTAGAGGGAACTAGGGCAAGCACAGCAGCCTAGGAGAGGTGGGGGCTGGGGTCCAGGGTTGAGTGTTGGGGGAGGGGAGGCAGGGGGAGGGGAGCAGAGGCCATCTCTGCTGACAAACACCTCCCCCGATTAGCAGAGCACAAGTCTCTTATTAAAGCGGGTCCCTGGGGATTAGACTATAAAAGTCTCTTTTTGCTTTTCCCCTCTCTCCCTCCCCTCCCCTTTACTCCCCCTCCCGGTCTTAAGAGCTCAGCTAGGCTCTTAAAGGGGACGTACAATACCTGGCTGGAGACCCTGTTCCCTAGTTACCCAAATACTGGGGTGGCACCGGAGTGGAAGGAGGGGGTGCGATCCCACCTGCTGGTGCCCCCCACCAGGCCTAACCTGTGCTGCCCAATCCATGCATGCTGGCGTCCTTACATTTCGTACATCCCCATAACCAGAGCTAATTCTGCCCTACTGCCTCACGGTTAAGGGATGCTAGGCATAGTGAGGAGCCAAGGTAGTCCACAGCTGGATCACCCATCCAGGAAATCTTCGTACTACACCACACAGACCCGGGTGTATCTTCCCCTTCTATACCCTTCACGCCTTTACCAGCAAACTCTTAATCAGAATTCCTGTACAACTGTTTCCTAAAATCCCCACCCCCACCTTGCCCTCAGTCAATCTCAGACTGACCCTAGCTCCTTAAGTAGAAGCCATAAGAACGAAGGTGAGGGCTGGGGATTTGACTCAGTGGTTCCGCTGCCTGCCTCGAAAGCGCAAGGTCTTGAGTTCAATCCCCGTACCAAAAAAAAAAAGAACGAAGGTGACTGAGGAACCCAAGGCAAATCTCCAGGCCTTCACACACCCATACACATGACCCCTCACACACACACACAGTTAGTTTCCTGGTTCTTTGAGTTTTCTTTATAGCCCTGACCAAGTACTGTGGAGTGAGTTCTGCAGAAATATGGGTGGCAATATCAGGCACTCCTACCAGAAGCACACCTGAGTTTCCATGCCTCTCCTACAGGGGTGGGCCACTGGGACTCCCCTCAGCCCCAGCTTTTTATGACCCATCTGCCAATAAACCAGTCCCCCCCCCCCGCGCCCGTCTGTTCAAAGTCATAAAACCAAACAGGGGAAGGGGGACCTTGCCAAACCACTAGGGAATAAGAGTGAGCCTGGCTCCCTGGAGTTGAAGGGTGGGGGGAGACCCAATGGGGGAGGGGAAGGAGTCACCTGACCCTGGGGAGAGCTGGGGGTGGGGGTGGTAGTATTGGCCTGGATTTTCCAGGCCATAAAATTTCAAAGCAGCTCATGTCTATTAACATGTTCATCTTCCGTTTGGCTGGGGGCTTGGATGCCTGGGTCCCCTCACACCCCCATCTAATTATTTAAGTCCAGCCGAGGGTACAGTGGATGAATAAGGGGCAAAACACTAAGGTTTGAGGAACCAAATGGTCGCCCTTAACATCTAGTGCAATGGAGTTGAATTCTCTGAGCTTAGTCGGTACCAAGAAGGTGCAGCTTTTCTGGCCCCGTGGGATACCCAGTTCGAGACACACGGCTCAGGATAGAGAATGCCAGCTGTACTGCCGGGAGGGACACAGGGTTCCGAGACTGGAAAAGGAGCACTCAGTTCTCTGCAGTCGGATGGATGCGTTGCAGAACACCGGGCGGGGAAGTGGGTGCCCGGGGAGGCAGAGAGCACTGCGGGCCAACTGGGACTGCGGGGGTCCGGGAGCTGATTCTGTTCTCCAGCCTCCCCTTCATGGCCCTTCAGGACAGAGTCGCTGCCCGGTTCTCGGTTGCGGGCCCCAGCTTCCCCGGACTCCTTCAACACGAATCTTTCCTCACACCGGGGAGAGGAGGCGGTGTCTCACAACCCGTCCCGTTTGCCCCGCGCCCACCTCCGCGAACCCGGCGTGCACACAATTCCGCCGCCCATCTTCACCGCTCGAAAAAGTTCTGTGAAGTAGCCCCCGCTCCCCAATCCATCAAGTTTTCGAAGTAAAGGCTTCCGGGCCAGGGCAGCCGGGAGCGCCCCGCTTGGAAATGAGAGGTGCCCTTCCCAGAGCCGCGCCAGCACCGCACCGCTCGCGTCCCGCTGCCCACTTACTCTCCTGGGCCATGCTAATGACGGTCTCGGTGGTGGCGTGGTACTCGTCCTCCTCCAGGAAGTCCTCGGGCTGCAGCGCGTCGCCTTGGAAGTCATGCAGGTCCAGGATCTGCTGCAGCGGCGGCGCCTTGGGCAGCAGCTGCTTCACCACCTCGCGGCTGATGTTGGGCGCCTCCTTGAGCCGCAGTTTGCTCAGGATCTGCGACTTGATGCTCTCCAGGCGCAGCTCGCGGCTGTGCTGCCGCCACACGCACACGGGGCAGCCG